TGATCGACGCTAGCGGACGCTAAAGACGGAATCAAGAGGGTATACCAGGCTCCCATGACTTGCTACCGAGCTCCCCTCTGCTCGTGTCGGCGACTACAATGTGTGCGGTTTGCGAAGGGTGCGGTTTGCCTCCCGTCATATTTGCCCCTCCCGCCCCCGGGAAACGGATGACACTGTCACTCAATGCGACCGAATCACATGACACTGTCGCTCCTTCTAGTACAGTGGAGCACACATCGAGGATGACAGTGCCGCTCGAAACGGCGACACTTTTTTGACATTGGCTCTCACAAAGGCCCCGGAAAGGCCGCCACAAAGCAACTCGCAAACCGCACCCGGGCGTAACCGCACCGATTGTCGTCGCCGGTCGTGGCCGAGAACAGCGTCTGTCGGGTCGGGCGAAAGGGGGGGATAGCAAAGGGGGGGGTTCGGCTATGTATCGAGGAATGTGCCCTTCGGTGGGGCCGAAACCAGCTGCATGCAGCAAATTTCGTAACCCCCCATTTCCCAATCCCCCCCTTTCGCCCGACCCGAGTCTGGGGGGGAAGCCCGCCGCGCGCACCCGGGGAGGGAGGCCGGCGCAGGGCCCCGACCGGAAAAGGGGGGCACGTCCTCCGCGGGGAGGCGGAGCGCGAGGGCTGCCCAGCGGCCCCCCAAAGGAAACCCCCTCCTCCTCCTTCTCCTCCTCCTCCTCCTCCTCCTCCTCCTCCTCCTCCTCCTTCTCCTCTTCCATCAACATCCTCCTCCTCCTCCTCCTCCTCCTCCTCCTCCTCCTCCCTCCTCCTCCTCTTCCTTATCAACCTTCTCCTCCTCCTCCTCCTCCTCCTCCTCCTCCTCCTATTTATCAACATCCTCCTCCTCCTCCTCCTCCTCCTCCTCCTCCTCCTCCTCCTCCTTCCTCCGCCTCTGCCCTCCCGCATCGCCAAAGACATGACCTTTTCAACCGGCTACCTGCCTTGATTTGCGGCCTCCAGGAGCGGTCCCCGCACCCGGGGGCCATGCGGGACGAACAGCTGCCGCGGGGGAGCCGTCGGGACATCTGGGCCCGCCGGCTGAAGAACCCAGTCCCGGCGGATGCCGGGGCCACCCTCCTCCCTCTCCTCCTCCTCCCCCTCTCCTCCTCCTCCTCCTCCTCATCCTCCCTCCTCCCTCCCCTCCTCCCCCTCCTCCCTCATCCTGTGCTCGCTCATCCTCCCCCTCCTCCCTCTCCTCCTCCTGCGCCTCCCCGCTGCCTCGTCCGCGGCCTCGGCCGGTGGACGAGGAGGAGGAGGAGGAGGAGGAGGAGGAGGAGGAGGAGGAGGAGGAGGAGGGGGAGGAGCAGGAGGGAGGAGGAGGGGAGGAGAGGAGGAGGGGAGGAGGAGGAGGGGAGGAGGAGAGGAGGGGGAGGGGAGGAGGAGGAGGAGGAGGAGGAGGAGGGGGAGGAGGAGGAGGAGGGGGAGAGGGGAGGAGGCGCGACGTGGGCAGCGCTCGGTCGGTGCCCGAGCGGCAGCCTCTCGCGCCGTCTGCCCCCTGCCTGGCGGGCCCCGGCCGGGCACGGCGGTGCGGCGGCGCGCGCCGCCGAGGTGCGGGGCGCCCGCCGCCGCCCTGCCTTTTCGAGCCGGGGCCGCGCGCGAGGGTGCGGTTTCACGGGGGAGGACGTGGAGGAGAAGAAGGAGCGAGGAGGAGAGGGAGATGGAGGAGGCTGAGGAAGAGGAGGAGATGGAGGAGGCTGAGGAAGAGGAGGAGGAGGAGGAGGAGGAGGAGGAGGAGGAGGAGGAGGAGGAGGAGAAGGAGCAGATGCAGGAGGAAGAGGAGGAGGAGGAGGAGGAGGAGGAGGAGGAAGAGGAAGAGGAGGAGGAGCAGAAGGACCGTCCCGGCATTCCTAAAGTCCTACACACAAACAAAACAGATTCCCCATCTTGTCCCATCTTTTTTTCTGGGTGTATGGATTCCCCACTTCCCATATGTTCCCATCTTCTCTCGGGGATCGAGGGTTCATTGTGTCTGTGTGTTTCTTTTCCTCCTGACTATAGCCCTACCACGAAATTCTCTTAGAACCCCAAACAATGCTCTAAGAACAAAAACAACGTTCTTAGAACACAAGCCCGATGTGTTAAGACAAGACAGGCCCAACCAGAAGTGTTCTAAGAACATTTCGAGGGAACCACAAAAGATTATTAGAACATGGTTTGGTAGGACTATAGGCACGCCAAGACGCTTCGCCACTGCTTGATTCCTTTCCCTACCGTGGAGGCCCGTCCACAAGAAACCTTCCACAAGAAACCCAGCCCTGAGACCCCAGGGCGTCGATGGATTTTTGGGGTGTGGGAGCGTCGCGCTTTTCTCCACGGCGGAACCATCGAGGCCCAAGAAATCCAGGGCACCCTGGAGGCTAGCAGGGTGTTTCTCGGCATGGGCCTCCACTGTAAGAAGCACCTTCCCCCTGTCGCACGCCCAAGACGTATCGGCAGGACGGGCCGGGCGGGTCGCCTGAGACTTCCTCACCCTTGTCGGATCCTGGAGCTTGCAGTGTGCAACCGCTTCGAAGACGGAGAGCGGGCGGCTCTCAAGAGGGAAAGCCCTCGTCTTTGCGCCGAGCGCGATCGTCTTACAAGTTCACCACAGCTTCGAGGGGGAGGAATAGGAGGAAGAGGAGGAGGAGGAGGAGGAGGAGGAGGAGGGGGAGGAGGAGGGGGAGGGGGAGGAGGAGGAGGAGGAGGAGGAGGAGGAGGAGGAGGAGGAGGAGGAGGAGGAGGAGGAGGAGGAGGGGGAGGAGGGGGGGGGAAGGAGGAGGAGGCAGGAGGAGGAAGCTTGCCACAGCTGCCGGGATGGAGAGCGGGCCGTTTGCAAGATGATGTCTTCGCCGTTCCACCAGCTAGCGCCGCGCGCATTCGTCTGAGGGGGATTTTCGATGAAAAAATACCCCAAGAATATTCCCAGAGGGTCAAAAAATACTCCAAAAAAATAGTCCCAAGGCCCCCGACAATTTTTGGAATATTGTTTGATGGAAGCTCCGCAGCACATCCACATACTCGCACGGCTGGAATCCCCAAAGAGTGTTATGGCACGTCTCAGGGCATCCCAACAACTGTTCTGGCACGTCTCAGGCTGGTCCGGGCGCGACAGGGACGCTGACTCACGGTGTCGAGGAGCCAGGAGCGGCTTTCTGGCCGTTTGCAAAATGATGTCTTCGCCCTTCCACTAGTTAGCGCCGCGCGCATTCGTCTTGAAGCTCTGCAGCACATCAAGATAATCGCATGGCTGGAATCCCAACCAATAATCTGGCACGTCTTAGGATGGTCCGGACGCGAAAGGGACGTTGATTCACCGTGTTGAAGTCCCAGGAGCAGCTTTCTGGCACGATTTAGATCCGTCAGGACTCAACATTCATGTGGACTCGCGGCGACGAGGAATGGTGTTTTGGCAGTGTTGAGGATTCTCAGATGGTGGTCTGGGACAGAGCAGAGACCAGAGCGCCGACAGTCGTCCCACAATGACACTCCCTGGGACAGTCCCTGCAATGACACTGAATCTATGTAGGGGCATCGCTGAAGAGTCTTGGCCTTGCACTGGTCCTCCGCCTCCTCTCCTCCTTTGCGCCCTGTTCCTCCCCGGGAGGAAGCATACCTGAGCTTAAACTTCCGGGAGCTCCGCATGGAACTCTTATAGGTCGGCGCTGGACCCCCCCACCCTGGCGCGCGGCTGCGCGCCGGGGGCGGCGCAGAAGGCGCCGCCAAGGGGGGGAGGGGGGTCCAGCGCCGAGCCACGTAGTCTTCGAGGCCCTTCGAAAGCTTGCTATGCTTAATGTCGTTCTGCCTCCTCCTCCTCCTCCTCCTCCTCCTCCTCGTCCTGTTTCGCTGATTCTCCCATCGCCTCCCGGCGCCAGAGGGGTGACAATGCATGGAGGAAGGCGCCTGGCGACGGGACCGGAACCAGCTGCGTGCAGCAGGTCTCGTATCCCCCCCCCCTCTCCCTACCCCCCGAGATCCCGTGTTGCGAAGAAGCTGCGACATCGCGAAGATCACGACCGGGGCCCAATACTAACCAGCCTCGAACCTATCCCTATCCCTAAGATGGGCGAGCAAAAAGCGAGGACAATCTCAGGGACGGGCCCTCAGAAACTGAGGGAATCCTTAAGATCGGCATCGAGGTGAGGTGATGTCAAATATAGGGATAGGGATATGTTTCAAACTGGTAAAACAACCCCATCTCTGTGCAGCATGTTTCGAGCCAATATTCGATCCGCGATGGTCCCGCGGGGCCCGAAGCTGGGCGAGAGGGCCCAGCGAGGAAAAATGCTGCTGCGCCTGGATTTCAAGGCCCCCCCCTCTATCGTAATGCGGGATGACGATCCATAAAAGATAGGGGAGAGAACGATTAAAAAGATAATGTTCCGCTATTTCTGCACAATTGTCTGACTGGAGGAGAACGATTTAAAACATAAATTTCTATCAGCCCGCGGCCGGGTGTTTCTAATCGTCATCCCGGGCGCCGCCGCGTGAACACGACCCCCGGTCATTTATTCATCGTCATCCTCCATTAAGGAACCACTGGATAAGGAATCCAGGGTCTGGAAGCCAGTGGAAGTCCAATTGGGGCTTGGTCATGGATATCACCGCCGCCCTCATCAGACCAGGAATCCCCCAGGGTCTGAGGCCTCGTGGGCATATTCCTTCACCAACGCTCCCACCGCACCATGTGTGGAACCCCTTCAGGCGCCGCTTCAAGGCGGTACGGCGCATAGGGCTTCGGCTGCGCGGACCGAAAAACCGTACCGTTCCCAGGTCTAGGGCCGACGACGCCCCGGGAGACGACAACGCAGTACGGTACATGCAGGTCGTCCGCGGATTTCATCCGAGCCGACCCTCTCCTGACTCGTATCCTCCTCCTCCTCCTCCTCCTCCTCCTCCTCCTCCTCCTCCTCCTCCTCCTGCCGACGACGACGGCGACGACAGCGACGGCGACGACAGCGACGACGACGGCGACATCGACGACGACGGCGACGGCGACGGCGGGGCGGCCTCAGCCGCAGCACGCCGCCCGGGGCGGACAGCTGCAGCCTCGTCAGCGTGTCGTGCGTGCCCTCGGCGGCCATCGTCGCCCTCCAGTCCTCGCGCACGGCCCCGTCCTGGGGGGGCCGCCGGTGCCTCGCGGGGCCCGGCCTCGGACCTTCGACGACGCGACCGACTTGTCAATCCGGCGGTGCTTCCGTGGCCTCCGCCTCGGGAGCGGCAAGGAGGGGGGCGTCCAAGAGGGGGGGGGGTGCAAATCATGGCCGGCGGCACGTGCGCGGCCCAGCGGGGGGGCCAGGGACGCAGTGGAATAAGAAGAGGCGCCATGACACCTGGGAAATCGCATGGCCCCCGCCACGAGATCCCCCCCCCCTACCCTGACCTTCCAGGAGGGCTAAAAAAATGCACGCGACTTCAAAGCCTATCCCAGAGCTATTCTATGTTTTGGTTTTCGGCTGTTTCGTTTCGTTGTTTAGGTGTTCAAGCCTCCAGAAAGCTTTTTTTTAGCACGGGAGGCCTAAAAACCTACTAAAAAAAATAAGGAAACAGCCTAAAACCAAGACACAGAATAGCTCTGGGATCGGCTTTGAAGCCGCGTGCCACTTTTTAGCCCTCCTGGAAGGTCAGGCTGTTTCCTTTCGTTTTTTATGTTTTTAGGCCTCCCGTGCTAAAAAATAGCTTTCTGGAGGCTTAAAAACCTAAAAAACTAAACGAAACAGCCTAAAACCAAGACACAGAATAGCTCTGGGATCGGTTTTGAAGTCGCGTGCCACTCTTTAGCCCTCCTGGAAGGTCAGGGTCGTCACCCCCCTCTCTGCCGCCCCCGAGGTCCGCCTCTGGGGCCCGACGTCGGGCTCGGGGACCACCTCGGAGACGGCTCCGGGGCGGAGAGCTACATCCCGGGCGGCGGGCAGACCTCCCTTTCGCAGACCGCCCTTCAGTGACAGGGGCCCCAGGACACACACATAGATACACACACACAGATAAAGCGATGCCCCATATTCTCCCACATATTTTTTCTGGGCTTCTGTCTTCCCCCCCCCACTTCCCATATTTTCCCATATCTTCCTGGGGATCGTCGATGAATTGTGTCTGTGTGTTTTTTGTCCCTCCTGACTTCAGTGAAAAAATGGCCCAAGGCCGAAACCGACGGACCTGGACCCGCAAGAGAAAAAAAGACGGCCGTGACGCCCCCTCGCGAGCCGGAAACGGCCCATTCGCTGATCGACGTGTCAGGGCAGGAGGTCTATCAACCTCCGACACCCGCGGGGGTGGGGTCGGGACCTCCGGGGCGGCGCACGGAACAGAAACGCATCGCCGGACGTCGGGGAAGCAGCGCCCTTCCTCGGGAGGGGACGGGGGGGAGGGGGGAAGGGCGTATGGGCGGAGGGGAGGACTCGGGAGGGGAGGGGGGGGAGGGGGGAAGGGCGTCTGGGCGGAGGGGAGAAGGGCGATGGGGGGAGGGGTCGGGGACATTCGATGCTCGGTCTGGGGACCTTCTTAGAGCCATTCGCTCCGCTCGTGCGTCGAAGCTGCGTCGAGCGTCCGTCGACTCGAGTCGCACCTGAGTCGAGCCTGAGTCGAACCTGGGTCGAACGAGAGTCGAGCTTGAGTCGAGCTTGAGTCGAACTTGGGTCGAACTGGAGTCGAACTTGGGTCGAGCAGATCCATCATGTGTGCCCCAGGAAGGTCCCCAAACTAGCATCGAAGGGAGAGCTGGGGCGGGAGAGGGTAGGGGGTAGGGGCTCGTGTTTTGTTTCGCGACGCGAGGGGAATCCTACCAGGCTATAACTCCTCCTTCTCGTCCTCCTCCTCCTCCTCCTCCGCCTCCTCCTACTCCGCCTCCTCCTCCTCCTCATCCTCATCATCCTCCTCCTCATCATCATCACCAGCATCAGCATCAGCATCAGCATCAGCATCAGCATCAGCATCTCATCATCATCATCATCATCATCATCATCATCATCATCATCATCATCATCATCAGCATCATCATCATCATCATCATCATCATCATCATCATCATCATCACCATAATCATCATAATCATAATCATAATCATAATCAGAATCAGAATCATAATCATAATCATCATCATCATCATCATCATCACCACCACCATCATCAGCAGCAGCAGCAGCAGCATCAGCATCAGCACCAGCATCAGCATCAGCATCAGCACCAGCATCAGCATCAGCATCATCATCATCATCAGCATCTTCATCTTCATCAGCATCATCATCATCATCATCATCATCATCATCATCAGCATCATGATCATCAACATCGCCAGCATCAGCATCAGCATCAGCATCACCATCCGTATCAGCATCAGCATCATCATCATCATCATCAGCAGCATCATCATACCCGTCCTCTCCTTCCCCCTCGCCCTCGCCCTCGCCCTCCCCCTCCCTTTCCCTCCCCCTCCTCCTCCTCCTCCTCCTTCTCCTCCTCCTCTAGCCTCCAGCCGCTGTTCAGAACGCTCCAGGCACCCCCGGGGACGCCCTCGGCGAGGCGGAGCTGTTGGCGAGCATCCCGAAGCTGGAACGCCGCCAGGGACCCTCGACCCCCCTCCATCCTCCTTCTCCACATCCTCTACCTCCTCATCGCCCTCCTCCTTTGTCCTCCTCCTGTTCTTCCTCCTGCTCGCAATGCTCTTCCTCGTGTCCCTCAACCTCCTCCTTTTCGCAATGGTCCTTCTCCTCATCCTGAACCTTCAAGTCCCTTCTGCTCTGTCCCACCGAAATCCTGGGGTGCTCTCAGGCCAGAACGTCACCTCGAATCCCGCTGTGGCGACGAGGAGGCCCAGGAGATGCCAGAACAAGCAAAGCGTGGATGCTCGAACCTAGTAGAGGTGCCACGAGCAACCAGGAGAACCGCGACCCTCCAGCAAATCCTTCCGCCGTGGCTTTCTATTCGTGACGCGGGGTTGGGTCACGGTCTTCCGATCGGAGGGGGGCCCAGCTGAGAAAACGGCGGCTCTCCACCCTGGCCCAAGTCCGCTCAAGATCGGCCCCCGGGCCTCTCCTGGGGTCCATCCTGGCCCGTTGCCGTTCTTTTTTTTTTTGCTGTGACGCACCTCCGGCCGTGGCGACGAGAAGCCCCCGAAAAGGCCAACACACATACAGCAGGAACGCCAGGGAGGACAGCCGATGTCTCGGCCAGCCCACACCCCAACCCAGATGGTCTGGTACCGGAAATTTTCGGTAGCGATTTCGACGCACCCCGAATTTCGGTAGCGACCGGATCTTCGTTTGAGGGCGTTGAAATAGCGGATTTCAGAACGCTCTGATACCGGTATTGGGCGCTACATTTCGGTATTTCGGTAGCGACCGATCTCTGCGGAGCGCTAAAGGAAATTTTCGGTAGCGGACCATCAGGGAAGTCTCCGGCGGCCGCTCCAGACGATCCCAGCACCCCCCGGGAGTGCTCTGTGGGCAAGGCGCAGCTGCTGGACGGGGCATCCCAGGGCCGGGGACCTCCGAGAAGCGACGACAACGCCCCCCGCCGCCGATCTGATTTGCTGGGCGCGTTTTCCACCACCACCACCATAAGTTGGAGGGGGGGGTCCTCCTCCTCCTCCTCCTCCTCCTCCTCCTCCTCCTCCTCCTCCTCCTCCTCCTCCTGTTCTTCCTCCTCCTCCTCCTCGCCCTCCTCCTCCTTCCCCCCTCCAACGTATGGTGGTGGTGGTGGAAAACAGGCCCATCATGCTTTTCCACGCTCTGGCCCCCAGGTGGTCCCGACCGCTTCCAAAGGGGGGCGCTGCTCGCGGACCCGGCTCTGAGGGCCCCGGGGGCACGCTGACGGGCCGCAGCTGAGAGGCCAAAGTCGGCGAGCAACGGTGGGATTGCACAAATCACGCCGTCGGAGTTTTTTTTTCTAATATTTTTTTTTTAAAAAAAAAGGAAAAAAAAAGAGAAAAGAACAGCCGCAGGCGGAAGCGCCAGCGGCGGGAGGTCGCGAACGGGCCGCGGACGCGACTAGATTACCCAACGCGCGCGGGGAGAACTGGGAAGCGTCGAGGAACTCCAGCAGCGTTCGCTGAGACACGGCCCTCTGCGACCACTCCTGGGAGCCTCCCATACCATCTGGTTGGCTCTTGCGAATGGAGTCGACGCTAGTCGACGATATTCGGCGTTCACCGATGCTGATCGACGCTGGTCGACGCTAAATCGATGCGAATCTATGCGAATCTGCGCTAATCGACACACGCTAGTCGCCGCTAGCGCGCTCTGAAGACGGCGCTGCGAAGGCACTCAAAACTACTGCTGCCCACACGAATCATCTCGTCGGAGATCCGGGAACCGACGAAAGCGCCCGAGAGGATCGGGCAACGCCCCATCCGAGGTGCCGCACGGCACCCGGCAGGAGAGCCCAGAATCGAATCGAGAAGTCGGATCGGCGATCGAAATGAATCGGGTCGGCGGAACTCGGAGTCGGAACCCGAATAGGAATCCGAAGTCGAATCGAATCGGAGTCGGAAGCCATCGATGCGAGGCGGGGATTTATCCATATCCACTACCTGGGAACCGACGTCCTGGTGCCCCAGCGGGCGGCGGACATGGATATATTTTGGCCCTCGGGGGCCCTAGGATGTCCACATCCACCGCCTGCCGAGGTCCCGAAAATTGATCCTCCAGGCGGTGCATGTATAAATGATACCGGAGAAAAACCCCAATCAAAATCTTTTTAGGGCTGTAGGGATGTAGAGCTACAGGGCTATATGGGCTCTTGGGCGCTATATGGGCTATTGGACTATATGGCTATGTGGGGTATAGGGCTACAGGGCTATTGGGCTGTAGGGCACCCCCGGGCACGGCCGGGCACCCTGGCACCCGGGCCCCCGGGCCCCCCCGGGCCCCCGGGCCCCCGGGCGTGCGGCGAAAATCGGCGGCAAACCACCCTCGCTCCCAAGGTATACCAAGCGATGCCAAACTACGGCCTCTACTGGTCAGGCCGCTTGGCGAGGAGGCGCGTGGTATGACTTGGTTTTGCCTGGAAGCGAAAGCGGGGTCGGTGATTCACAATCGATTCGGAGGAATCGAAACGAGCCCCCTGCAGACCCCTGCAGAGGCAAGCTGCAGAGGCAAGCTCCGATTGGGGGACGTACCGCCTCGGAATCGAATCCGAACCTAATCGATTCGATCGACTCTGCAGAGGCAAACTCGGAATCGAATCCGAACCCGAATCGAATCGACTCGGAGGAGTCGAAACGAGCCCCGCGACGGGCCGCGCGGCCCCCGGCGGGGGCGCAGCGCGCGTCCTCGAAGGCCACGGCCTGCCCCTCGGGGGCGCCCTCGTGGACCACGAGGCCCCCCCAGCCGGCGGCGCAGGCCTTGCGCCAGCCGAGGCACACCTGCCGCGGGCCGGCGGGCCCCAGCGAGGGCGCTTCGGCCCCGAGCGGTGCTTTTTTTGTTTTTTGACGTGCTCCTACCTCCTCCTCCCTCGTCCTCCTCATATTGGTCCTCCTCCCCCTCATCACCCCCCCCCTCTCCGCGTGCGCCTACCTCCTCCTCCCCCTCCCTCGTCCTCCTCTCGTGCTCCTTCCCCCCCCCCCCGTCCCCCCCCCTACCATCCCCCGCCCTGCCCCCCTGCGAGAGCCGCAGCCGCGGCGCTCGACCCCACCCAAAGGCTCAGTCCGGGACCTCTGGGAGCTGCGCAGTGCGTGGCGCAGCCAGGCATGCAAGCGCCTCCGCATGCAAACGCCTCCCGCGCTGCCTGCCCGAGCAGTGCGTGCACTTTGGGGCTCCTGGATCGGTTCTAGGCCCAGAGATCCAAGGCATTGAAATCAATCAGGACGGAGGTTTTCCGCCAGTTTCGGCCTTCAGAGGCCCTCGCCGGGCCGCGGGACCGTCGAAAAAGCAGCTCAAGATGACAAACCGGATCTGCGGAATGGGTCGAGACTTCCGGGGGCCGCGCATTGAAAAAATCACGATATCGAATCCTCCTCCTCCTCCTCCTCCT